ACTCAGCAGTGGCCACAGGACTAGAAAAGGTCAGTGTTCATTCCAATCCCAAAGAAAGGCAATGCCAAAGAATGCTCAAACTACCGCACAGTTGCACTCATCTCACAGGCTAGTAAAGTAATGCTCAAAATTCTCCAAGCCAGGCTTCAGCAATACGTGAACTGTGAACTTCCAGATGTTCAAGCTGGTTTTAGAAAAAGCAGAGGAACCAGAGATCAAATTGCCAACATCTGCTGGATCATTGAAAAATCAAGAGAGTTCCAGGAAAACATCTATTTTTGCTTTATTGACTACGCCAAAGCCTTTGACTGTGTGGATCACAATAAAATGTGGAAAACTCTGAAAGAGATGGGAATACCAGACCACCTGACCTGCCTCTTGAGAAACCTATATGCAGGTCAGGAGGCAACAGTTAGAACTGGATGAGGAACAACAGACTGGTTCCAAATAGGAAACGGAGTACGTCAGGCTGTATATTGTCACCCTGCTTATTTAACTTATATGCAGAGTACATCATGAGAAATGCTGGGCTGAATAAAGCACAAGCTGGAATCCAGATTGCCGGGAGAAATATCAATAACCTCAGATATGCAGATGACACCATCCTTATGGCAGAAAATGAAGAGGAACTAAAGAGCCTCTTGATGAAAGTGAAAGAGGAGAGTGAAAAAGTTGACTTAAAGCTCAACATTCAGAAAACTAAGACCATGGCATCCGGTCCCATCACTTCATGGGAAATAGATGGGGAAACAGTGGAAACTGTCAGACTTTATTTTTGGGGGCTCCAAAATCACTGCAGATGGTGACTGCAGTCATGAAATTAAAAGATGCTTACTCCTTGGAAGGAAAGTTATGACCATCCTAGATAGCATATTAAAAAGCAGACATTACTTTGCCAACAAAGGTCAGGCTAGTCAAGATAATGGTTTTTCCACTGGTCATGTATGGATGTGAGAGTTGGACTGTGAAGAAAGCTGAGCGCCGAAGAATTGATGCTTTTGAACTGTGTTGTTGGAGAAGACTCTCGAGAGTCCCTTGGACTGCAAGGAGATCCAACCAGTCCATCCTAAAAGAGATCAGTCCTGGGTGTTCATTGGAAGGACTGATGTTGAAGCTGAAACTCCAATACTTTGGCCACCTCATGCGAAGAGTTGATTCATTGGAAAAGACCCTGATGCTGGGAGGGATTGGGGGCAGGAGGAGACGGGGACGACAGAGGATGAGATGGCTGGATGGCATCACTGACTCGATGGACATGAGTTTGAGTGAACTCTGGGAGTTGGTGATGGACAGGGAGGCCTGGCGTGCTGCGGTTCATAGGGTTGCAGAGTCAGACACAACTGAGTGACTGAACTGAAGTGAACTGATTAGCTAATGTAAGGCGTTGGTGTTGGATAATTTTCATTACTGTAAACTCAGTTAATGAATCAGTTAAAATGTTCCATGTAAATTAGTCTCTCTTAAGGTAATCATACTGACTTATTTATCCTTTATAAAAAAATCTTTACACTAAGAGTGTCTTGGAATAATTTTTAAAAGTGGAAAGAAATATTTTCTTTTACAGAGAGGGAATGTGATATTCATCAGAAACAAATCAAATATACAGTAGCACAAATCAAATATATTGTAAGATTTTAGTTTTTTTAATGCACATTCACCAGTAGAGGTCACTATTACACCAAGTGACTGTTCAGCTATCAGAAGAATTAGAGAACTTGTCTGAATTAATAACAAAAATCCAAATGTGAATACATAAAAGTACACAGAAATATGCTGCGACACAAATACATTTAAAGGTAAATATAGATAATTCCTCATTTTATACATTTTTTTTTTCCTTTTTTGCCTGTGCCTCGTAGCTTGCGCAATCTTAGTTCCGCAACCAGAGATTGAACCCAGGCCCCAGTGGTGAAAGCACCGTGTCCTAACCACTAGACGGCCAGGGAATCATTTTATACACTTAATATGCATTATCATACTCATTTTCCCCATTCTCCTCTGTATATACATAAATTTGTAAATAAACATGTATATACATTTTTTGTCTACATAGTAATCATTATTTATGCAAGGCAAAAGTATAATAATAAAATATTTAATGTTTAAAAGCTTTCTAAAATGTTCTTTATAAAAAGCAACAAAAATGTTATGGTGTCATAAAATCAAAATAGTATCTATTAATGTTCCTCCTAAGAATAAGACTTCATAACTGACCTAGGCAGTACAGCCCAATACCAGCACTTAAGAAAGATACATACATACTCACCAGGACATGTGCATACTATCACATATTCAAAAAGGATTCAAAATCCACTAAAGCAATGTTAAATATGCCAGAAAATACAGACATAGCAGCTTAGGAGAGAACAGATGTGGAGATGGGAAAGCAAGTTCAGTTCATGACCAATAATGCCAAAAGGGAAATAAAGGTCAGCTATTCTGATATAATTTTATGAAACAAAAATTCAAGGGTAGCAGAAGCATCTCTGGCGTAGAGATTCCATGGTTTACGTACCCCGACTACCCATTCCACACCCAAGTCACAGTCCTGGCCTAGGTCAGGTATGCCCTGCAAATCAAGCATGTCCCCTATCTGTCCCCAAGTTACATCCGCTCCTGGGCTGCTTCCTGAAGCACTTCCATTAGAAGAAAAGGTCTTTCACTGCATCATATTGTTAAAATAATACTCTTAATATAATGTTTTGATTTAAATACAGTCACTTAATAAAGCAACAACTTTAATCCACTAGAGTCAACAGTTTCTCCATCTTGATGGGGAACACAGAAAAAGACAGGCAATGTCATGAAAGGGAAGAGAGGAAAGGAAAGGGTTCAGGGGGCAGAAGACAGCGTCTGCAGACCCCACACTGACCCACGGGGTGAGTCCTAACGAGGAGGGCTGGGACACAGCCAGGTTGCACACGCAAGCATTTTGTTCTTGCAGCTGCAAGCTCAGACAGTTTGGCTTTATATGATCTACAAAGATGATTTTCATTTTATTTCCAGCTTTTTATTACGAACATTTTCTTCTAATTTTTTATGGTGAACTTTTGAAATACATAAGAAAACTGAAAGCAAAATAAATATCCTACTCTTAGATTCAACAATGTTTAATATTTTACCACATTTGCTATATCTACATATGTGCAAATATATTCATTTACTTATACTAAATTTAGATATATTTACTTTATTATATTTAGATATACCTACTGTTTTATTTATTTTTGGTTGAACCATATTTTATTTTTTGTTGAAAATACCTTTTTTTAATTGAAGGAATTTTTTTTTTAATTGAAGTACAGTTGATTTACTATGTCATGTTAGCTTCTGGTGTACAACACAATATACGTATATGTATATATGCTATGTATGTGTATATATGTGTGTATAACACATATATGTTATGTATAAACATACTAACTGAATCTTTTCCCGTTTTCAGATTCTTTCCCCTGATAGGTTATTATAAAATATTGAGTATAGTTCCCTATGTTATACAGGAGGTCCTTATTGGTTATCTGTTTTATATTCAGTAGTATATATAGGTTTAGTCCCAACCTCCTAATTTATCACCCACCCACCCCACTACACCCCACTCCCTCCCCAGTTGGCCCATCTGAAATATTTTAAACTAAGGTGTAGACATCCTAACACTTTACCCTTACAAAATCCAGCACGAATCTACTAAAAATAAGAACATTCTTCTACTAACCACTTAGTAATGCCAAAGAAAAGGTAGCAATAATTCCACACCAATATCCAGTATCCAGTCTATATTCAGATTTTCAATTATCCTCACAAATGTCTTTGATAGCTATTTGTTTTTAACTAGGATCTAATCAAGGTTCATGTACTACATTTGGCTGTTATGTCCAAGGACAGCCCCTCCCTCCATTTTATTCAATGACTGTTGACTTTTTGAAGAGACTAGGCCAGTTATCTCACAGAATGTTCCATAGATTTGCATAGAGGTTGTTTTTAAAGAACTACCGCCAAGGAACTTGGTTCCTGAGGATATTACTGTGACATCATTCACCAACATGAAATAATTCTCTGCTAGGTCAACTGTAGAGTAAAAACTCTGGAACTTTAATGTCAATAGTAAAGCTAAATATTCCATTTCCATGATCATATGCAGCTCTTAATTAGTGTCACTAATAAGGGGTAGTATAAATTGACATGAATTATTTTAGGGAGTGAAATAATTGAAAGAAATAAATAATGAAAAATACAATAAAATGGCATTATGCTCAAGAATTCCTGACACTTGACCCTGGCAGACTTATTATTCCTTGGATTATCCAATTGCTTAAGCAAACACCACCAGTATTTTGCTAAGGGTACAAAAAGAAATATGAGACAGAACATTTGTTAGTTTAATCTAAATCCTTTTTAAAGTTCTTCAGAAAGCACATATAAAATTGGGCCAATAACGTCTATAACCATGATACACATAACCTTGACTATCTGTTGTTTCTGTGTACCAACTAACAAAAAATGAACACAAATTTTAAAATTACAAAGAACATGAAAAAGAAATGAACTACAATAGATTTCCAATTCTCGCCATGCACATGTGTATTGGTGTGATGGAGACTGCAGGCGCCCTTCTGGGGTCAGTTAAATCCCAAGGCTGTTTCCAAATCAGAACAGACTCAGAAGCCTATCAAATTTTCACTGAGGGTCCAAAGTACAAAGAAAAAATACATCTGAAATATATATCTGTGGGTCTTGAATGAATCAGCTCACAGAGAACACTGCACCCAGGCCTGTCTTAATTGTGACACCATTGACTCTGAAAGAATTCTCCAACAGGTCAGCTGCAGTGGGAAAAACCTGGAACTACAACATCAAAGAGCAAAGTATTTTCACAAATGAAGTTACTTGTAGGAGGAAAAAGGCAACTGCAGCTTCTGTGACTTAAATAGGTCATGAAATAGCTATATAACCAGTATTATGTACATGTGAAAACAACAGATAGACCGTTAAGTTCTTACCGTGTTAAAGTATCCGACGATTTTTCTAATTCCTCACACTCCATGTGAAACACGCTAGAGAAAGAATCCTGGAAACAGAGCAACAACACATACTGAGAAATAAGTTTGAGAACACAATGAAAATTATCTAGACACAGACGTGCAAGTCTGTAGAACTAAGACACCACTGCTTGTACTTTTTTACTTTCTCAGACAAAACTGACCCAAGTACTTACTTCATGACACTCTCAAACCTACTTCCCATTACTAAGAATCATACTCCTATTGTTTCTGATACTGACCTACAGAAGTACTTATTTGAGTACTATTTGTTTTTGCTTTTCTACCAGTTGTTAATGAATATGTTAGCTTCAAATTTTCTGTATATTTATTCAAAATCTTCAAGTTTCAGTTTTTATGCATACGTTTACTGCTATTCTTGGGTCTTTAAAAAAAAGACACACAATTCAATAATATTTTATGAGATTATTAAATTATGAAGATTTTAGCAATAAAGAGACATACTTTTGAAGTTTTTTTTTTTTTTTTCTGGAGCAGATTTTATTTATTTATTTTTCCATTTATTTTTATTAGTTGGAGGCTAATTACTTTACCTCATTGCAGTGGTTTTTGTCATACATTGAAGTGAATTAGCCATGGATTTACATGTTAAATTGAAAAGCAGCATACCTATCTGCACCCATACTATAACTGAATAAAAAATTGGAAGGAAACAAATAAAACAATGGTATCAGTTTAATGTGGGGACAGAAGAACTGAGTACATTTTTTTCTTGTTCACTTTTGGATTTTTGCTCATGTGTTGAAATGTTTTTATCAAAAAATAATTACAATATAAATGAACATCAAGTCACTTAATTGCTACCCCCAACAAATTAAGTCATTAAAAAGTGAGCAAAACAGATTAATGGGCATACTGCTGAGCTATACTTTAAAGCAAGTCTGATACCAGTCAGTTGCTGCCATGATAGCTGTTAACTGGTAGAAGGATAAGCTGAATGTTAATTAAAGTGATAATTAAATGGTCTAAAAAAGAGAGTGCCTTGTGTGTAACTTTCCAAAATTAAATGACAAAGAGCAGTCAACAGAGCAAAAACGGTGAGCTGACATCCTGCAGTAAATTCAGACCTGAGCTTCAGAAGGAGAGCTGCAATCTTGTAACTGTCTCTATACTAGGGAGTTTATAACTGACTGAAAATATTTTAAATAATTTCCATGAGAATACTTATAGCATAGTGAATTCTGATTTGATTTCCTATCAATCAGAGTTATACACACACAAACACAATGATTCAAATAATGCTATAGCACACAGTCCTGTCTTCCTATCTAATAAAATAATTAAAAATTTAAAATATAAGTATTAAAAATTTTTTATTACTTTTCTCCCTCCATGCACGAATGCTAAGTCACTTCAGTCATGTCTGACTCTTTGCAATCCTATGGACTATAGCCCATTCCGCCCCCCAAAAAAATCAATTCAAATATTCTATACAGATTGTAATTGACTTTATGCAAGTGAGAATTCCTATTTTCTTTCCTAACCCACCAATGAAGAGCATGTTCTCAGGGTCTAAAGGAAAAAGAAAACAAACAACTATGTCAAAAAGAAATATACCAAAAGCAGTGATTCATCAGTTAAGAAGGAAAAGAAATGGCATAAAAGAAAACGGCCTGAGGCTAAAGGTGCTGATGCTAACAGCAAACTCAGCTGGCCTGTCTGTAAGTAACCAGCACTCTATGAGAACACTCCATCTTTCCACACAGATCTTACTTCTTTACATTACAAATCAATGGCTTGAAATCTACCGCTTAGAATAAATAAGCAACTTTCCCTGGTGGGTGAAGAATTTGGGACTCACAGGTACCTTTAACAGCACTGCCTCCATTGGGCCATGCCTTATGATTTCCACACGATCTCAGGTAAAAAAATTTTACACCCATTCCATTCAGAATCAACAGGCAGAATAGGTCTACCTGCTGACAGCAAGAGGGCACCACTATTCCTGCCCAAAAAAGGTCTGCAGGCTGTAATGACGATGCACTTCTCCATCAAGGTAGTGCAGCCACTGAGGAAAGCAGCACAGTGACATTGCCATGGTAACCACTCAGCTAGGGGTCAACAAGGTGAGGGTGCACGGGGCATCCTCCAACCGCACCTCTACCCTTGTCAGCCAAACGACTCATTCTTTAAGCAGCTTTGCATAAACAACCATGTTCAGCTGGACTTGAGAGAGAGTTCTGAGGCCAACATGAGGTTTAAAAGCAGTGCTTTAAGGACCGTAAGTTTCTGTCTTTCTAAAAATAAAAAAGTCATACTCTGTACTCACGGAGCAATCTTCATCCACTATGAAAATGGTGCATTTCTGCACCTGCATGAAAGAGATAATAGTGGCAGCTATTTTCTTTAGAATTACTTCTAATGATTGTTGTTCTTCAAAAATTAAGCTAGCAAGGTCAAGCAGCACCTAGACAAAAAAATTAAGAGCTCTGATTTAGTAGTTACTAAAGCAGTACAATGACTTATATGGGTTGTAAGTGGTTTATATATTATCTAACAAATTATAACCAAGTTTAAAAAGAAAACTTCTCTATTGATTGTTAGTACAATTAGTACAGTGGTTACAATCACAGACTCTGAAGTCACAGCCAAGAGTTTTTAATTCTGGTTTCTCTTCCTGGGCTTTGTGATTTAGTTTCTTGAAAATGAGAATAATAGTACCAAAATTATGGGGCTGTTGTGAAGACTAAATAAGTTAACACTGAACAATGTTACATAAAACACACTATTGTTTTTGTTGATCCAGACTTCTGAGAGCAACATTTACCAACATTGCCAACTTTTTCACAGAATGAAATAAATATTTTCCTAAATAAACAAAATTTTCAGAGTTCCTTTCGTGTTTCTCCTGATAATTTCTCTTTCCTTTAACTCCACAGAATTCCATCTAGTCTCACAGGAGTATCTGTGCATGGAGGGGAGACAAAGGGTTATTATTTAAGATTTATTGGAGGCAATACTATGCCAGGTGAGGCCTGAAAGATGAGCAGGAATTATTCAGGTGAAGTTAGGAAGGAAAATATCACAGTCAAAAAGAACTGCATTGAGAGAAAGTAGCATGTTGTAAGTTTTGATCAAATTTTTTAAGAATAGAGAGTGTAAAGGGGAAAACTAGGCAGATGATATTGCAGAGGTAAACAGAGAAAGAACCCCAAAAGCCCTGTCTGTCTTTTGAAGCAGTCTGGACTGTGATGGATTGTAGTAGAGAAGGGACAAGATCACAGGTGTGTTCATAACATGAGGACTGGATTAATGAGTGATGAGACTGGGGCAGGGAGGTGTTAGGAAGATGCTGCAGTTGAAAGTCATGGCAAGTCCACAGTCTTATGAACAAAAGTTCTAAAAAGAGAAATTAAAGGGTGGGGGGATGAATTATCAAAGAAATAATGAAAAAGAAATACATAAAACCTAAAGGCTTACATCTCCAGACCAAAAGGAATGACCAGGTACAAGCATAATGAATGAAAACAAGAATCATATTGTGAAATTCAGTTACAAGAGCAATGACAAAGAAATAATCCCAAAAGCTTATAGATAAAAAACCAGGAATCAGAACAATATCAATTGCTGGCAGAAGACAAAGCATTACCTTTAGATTCTGAGAAACATTTTTCAATGCAGAATTTTTATACCCAGCCAAATTGGCAGGATGGTATAATAATATTTTAATACATGTAAGGTGCTCACATCACAATACCTGTTGCAAGTAGTTAATTGAGAATGTGCTACAACAGAACAAGGGAGTAAAGTGAGAAAGAAGGAGCTCTGGGATTCAGTGGGTAACTACTGGAGTCTTCCTAAGAAAGCAGTGAGGGAAAGTTCTACCAGGAACCCTACACAGCAGGCATGAGGAGAAACAGGTTTGCTGAAAAGGAGAAAGAAAGAGAACCTCAATCTGGAGATTCTCCATGAAAAAGAAGAACTCCAGAGAATGCCTAAATAATGGAGAGTTTGTCGGGGGAGGGCAGTAACACGAGGCTACACCAGTGCAAACAGTTCAAGGAAAAAGGAATAAATTTCAGAAATCAACAAGAAAAACTAAATTATATAACAAAGGTAATATGAGCAATATTTATATCATAGTACTTATTAAAGACTTTATTTTTAATTGCAACTTTGGAATTAATCCAGACAAAGCTTTAGAAAAGTTAATCATGGTGTAGAACAATACAGATCTTCCTCAATTTATGATGGAGTCACATCTTGATAAATCCATTGTAAGTTAAAAATACTGCAAGTCAAAAATCTGTTTAATATACCCAACCACCTGAACATCACAACTTAGCCCAGCCTAGCTTAAACATGCTCAGAACACTTACATTCACCCACAGCTGAGCATAATCAACTAACACAAAGCGTATTTTATAATAAAGTATTGAATATCTAATGAATTTACTGAATACTGTACTAAAAGTGAAAACTGGAATGGCTGTGTGGGAAACAGAATGGTTTTAAGTTGTTTACCCTCATGATGGCATGGCTGCGAGGAGCTCTGGTTACTGCCACTGACCAGCAACATGAGAACATGTCACAATCCCAGGAAAAGAGCAATATTCAAAATGTGACGTATGGTTTCTACTGAATGTGTATAGCTTTTGTACCATCACAAAGTTGAAAATGTAAGTCTAAATAACTAGTGTAAATTGAAGACCATCTGTGTACATGTTATCAGTGTGGGCAACATAAAAGAAAAAGTCCAGATAGGAAAAGCAGAGGTAAGCAGTAGTAATTGGGAAGGAGAGATGACAGATGTTAAGATCCTTATCTTATAAAGCAGGGAATCAAGAGATGATATCTCTAAGTGATAAAATAAGAACTAAATCCTTAATATTACAAGTGCAATTCATTCAATAACTTAAAACAGTGACATCATAATACTGTTACCATGATGGCAAAGCGTGGTGTAAAGTTAAAAGTAAATCTTAATCTGTTAACAGTGATAACGCAATAGCTCACAGAAAAATACAAAATGGAAAAAATGTCTATTAGAATAGTAGAAACAGTTAAAATATTTAGAAACTGAATCTGTATGATATATATAATATAAAAATTTAACTGTTTTCTTAAAAAAGAATTTCTATACTCTCTCTTTATAATCAGACTTGCCTGGTTTCTCTTGTTTTCCAGCAGTGAAGTCTCATAGAGTTGAGCATTATGAAGAACAATTCCACAAAATGCCAAGTAAGCAGCAAAGTCCTAGAAAACAGACAACAGCCAAGTAAGAACTGTCAATAAACCTGTCTTGTTATATTGCTGGAAACACAAACAGCATCCAAAAATATTTATAGTTCAAATAAATATTAAAAAACCAACAGCACCAAATAAACACAGTAGATGTTTATTCTGCATAAAATTAGAAACTGATGCAAAGCAAGTGTTAGCTAAATGATACAATCAGTAGATGACAAGTGTTAATAAAGTTGCCTAACTTCATAAAATAGTTATAAAATAAGCAAGGAGAAAGAGACACAGACCTCTTTACATGATTTGATATTGGAATTTACTTTATGCAAAAGTTGGTGTAGTCTCTAAATGATATTAAGACTTGGATTTAAGCTAAGACTATAGAAATAGTCCGTACCTTATTACTGGGGCAAACTGAAAGCTCACATACTTGTTAGAAGAATGAATACTGGCAACAGCAGTTCCATACTAAGTTGCAAATATTAAATATATTCTTTTAAACACGGGCCTACCACTCTCGCAATACTATACCAAGGTGATGTGTTCACAGTTATAGTAATTATTGATTAAAAGAAGTAGCATATTTTATTCACAATTATGAATTTATTCTGCCAAGAGATGATACAGACTAAGAATGACAATCTTTTAAGAGGGGTTTACCTGAATGGATTATAGACAAATAATCGAATAAACAGCCAATCTAGGACCATGTTTCCCACCAAATATTCTCAGATGTCATTAAGAGCATAGGAGACTAGATGACTACTACACATTTAAAAAGGTACTTGCTATGTTCCGAAGCAATTAAGACATGGGGACCAACACCAGTGCCAATACAGCGTACAGCAGGAGACAAAAATAACTCTGTCCTATTGGAATGTCTTCCAAAAGTTCCTGCTAATTTTCAGTGGAGGGACAGAAATAGCAACGGGCTTAAAGAGGAAGAATTCAGTGGGCTCCATGATATACATATAATTACATATCCAGGAAGAGAAATAATAAAACCTACTGACAGAATGAAGTTATAAACAGGTTTCAGGGCTTCCGTCCTTAGCGGAAAACACATCGATGTAGTGCAAGGAATCTACCCCTTCAGAGTTGGACGAGAAAGGTAATAAAATAATGCTGACTGCTGCCCTTTCTGAAGCTAAATTCACATCATCCAGCCTGAATTCACACCTTGGCGCCCCATCGTCTGTGTGCAAAGCTTATAAAATACTCTGAAATTTGCTTCACCAGGAGGCAATTCCAATTTTTAGCGAACCTGGAGTGCTGAACTTGGAGCAGTGCTTTAGGACTTTTTTTTTTTTTTTTTTTTAAACTTAATGTTGAATTTCTTTATAGCAGTGATGAAAAGTATATGGGAGACTTAAAATATCACGTCGCTCTCTGGATAGCCCCAGCATGCACACAGCCCTGAAGAAGGCTTGGGGGCGTGGCGAGGAAGGTTTTGGGGCGTGGCGAGGAAGGCTTGGGGGCGGGGGTTCTGTGGACTGAGGACCACAGGTCAGTACTGATTTAGCCAGAGGAAAGAGACCCCTCTGAAGATTTCAGATCCTTTCAAACCATACTGCTTTTGTGATCAACAGTTTTGACAACTGCCAATTCCAAAGGTCTATACACTCTAAAGAGAAAGCATCTTCCTAAATTGAGATCATACCAGGCACAAGTTTTGGTACCTTTTCATCTTTTTCAGTGAATGTCCCACCATTTCCTGATTTCTTGTTGATGGCCTGCGCTACACCAACAACCTGGTAAAAGAAGAGAACATTGATAATTTCACTGACAGAAATTATTGGTATAAGTTCACCAAAGCATGTTTACAGAAGAATTTCTACATGTGCTTTAAAATAGCAATAAGCTACAAAATACAAATAGCTACAAAATTAAATCCCTCAGCATTGAAACTAGTTCCCTACCATTTTATAAGATTTTTTTTCCTCATAAGAGTTCAATGTTTCTAATTTCTTGAGTCCCAAACTATATTTTATTTTGGAATTTCATGCTGCTCTGTGAAAGAAATTTATTGGCAATCACTTTTATTGTATTTTTCATGACTTTTTAATAAAAAATAAACACAATTTATATTACATTTCAATAAAATATATGACAAAATGAACATTTTATTTTAACTATAATATTTCAAATGGGCTAAATGTTATTTTATTGCAAGTGAAACAGGACCAACAGCCCAGTCACAGAATTTAAAATACAGGAGAACCAATTAGGGGTAAAAATAATTCCTAATGTAGGAATGTTGTCTAACTTCTTTGGAAATTTCTGACCTTGAAAATTATCTTACCATCAACAGACTTATTTGGGGGGAAGGAAGTTTTATTGAAAAATCAAACAAGAAATTAACAGACTGAGCCTGATTTCAAATCAGAAAGTGTTTGAAAGATAAATTACATCTTAAGAAGACTGAGCTAAACTCTGGAAATGTGTCTTACATTTCCACAAAACACTTACCAAGACTCCTAAAAACCTTCTCATTTTTCTGCTTAAAGTATATTTTACTTACCCATTTAGTTCCAACTTAGTTTCCATTATTACCTCAGTTTTATAAAGACCTTCAACTTACTTTTGCTTCCTCTTTATTACTAAAAATTCCACTCTTTTCTTCCTTCTGCAATTTAATTAGTGGAGAAAGCTATAATGCTCTAAATGATTATATTTGAGGAATAAAGTCCTTAGTTTTGTGTGGACAGTTGATCCTTTTTTCTTAGCTCATCCTAGTCCCTTAGCTTTAAGAAATGGAAACAAAATTCCTCTCTAACACAAGCAAGTAATCCTGTGAAGGGGAAGGGGAGCAAGGAAGGGGAAACATTCTTGTCTGATGCGGTTTTCTGCTCTTCCCAACACATTTCTTCACAACCCCATGACAGTGTACAACGACACTGACTTTTAAAAAGCAGAATCATCCAATTATCCCGTACCTATCTTACACTCGTTAGTTCTTGGTTAACAGATTTCTCAAGGCTCCAATCTCAATAACTAAATGCTTACAGAAGCTTTTGTCTGAGGTCAGAACATCAGGATTGCAGCAGACACACTCACTTAAACACAACTGAGGGGAGCCTCAGGAAGGTCTGGGGTCTAATACATAGTGCTACCGGTAAAACTGGGTGACTTTACGTCTTCATCCTTTTACTCAACAATACTGTGGGGCCTGCTGTGTACCAAGGAGTGATGAAACTGGAAGAAAGGCTACCTGGAAGAGCTCAAGAATGGGTGACACATAAACATACACTTAACAGTATAGAGAATGACAGGATTACTTTTATAACAGATTGCTAAGGGCACAGAAGGGTGACCAAATATGCATAAAAGAGAAAGTTTCTCACAAATGATCACATTTGAGTTTTTGTCTAAGCATTTGATAAAAGATTTAAATCTCCATTTTCAAGAAAATGAGATTAAAACAGATAAAGACTGTTGTGCAAACCTCTTCAAATAATTATACAGTAAAAAAAAAAAAGTATGTATTGATCTGCTGTTTGTATCTGGAACCATGTACTAATGAAACAATGTACTAATAAGGAAGACAATTTTCAACCAACACAACAGTGTTCATGGAGTTCAGTAAGTATCTTCCATTTTGAGAATTTCTATTTGATTCTTTTTTTTTTTTTCAAACATGCCTGTATCGCCTCCTTTTCCCCTTAAATACTAGTGGCAGTTGTCTTTCATCTTTTTGAACATACTCTTGAGCATAAGTACATCCCCACGTCCCCTGAAGAATGAAGTGTCGGGCACACAACTTGCTCCTTACCTGGCACCGCACTCAGGGTGTGAATCTGAACTCTATCCCCTGCGGGGCACAAGCTCGGCTCTCGCCAGCCACTGGTGTCTCTCCTCTCTCTGGCAACTGCAGACAGAGGCAAGCTTCCCTGCTACTGCTTCTGGCTACCAGTGGGGTTCTCTTGGCCTGCTTCCATGGATGGAACCTTCACAAGCCTGGGCTTGCCCTGGGAGCTTAGCCCCTCCCCTCCCCAGACGCCTCCTGCAGAGGGAACTCATCCCCTCCCGCCCCTATTGTTACCCACAGACATTCTCACCACTCAGTACTCCATCTGGACTTTGGTCACTCACATTGCTTACCCTGAGTTCCCCTCCTTCTATCTAATACCTGAGTTTTCCCTTTCTTGAGATCATCTGTCATTTTAAAAATCGCTTTTGGTGAAATTTTATCCTCCACTCGTTTGCAGAATAGGGATGGGGTGGGGTGGTGTTCTGCATTTGTTCTGTCTGGCAAACTGACCAGAAGTCTTGTTCACAGGCTTTAAAACCTACTGTGTACACCCTGAAAACCAGCTATTTCCTATATTTAATTTTGTTTCCTTAGCATTACAACAAGATATTAATCATTAGGCAACTTTATGGAATAAGGACTTCCAATGATGAATTTTAAATCCTTTGTGGTAACCAATTATTTCTCTTACTAATAATTTTATAGATTTAGATAGGTTAATTTAAGGGATGATAAATAGAAATAATATAGTCTTTCAAAAAAACAGCCAAGTTCTTTCAAGAGACTGTTAGACCAGGAAAATAAAAAACTTACATGTGAAAAAAAATTAAAAAAAAAAAAACTTACATGTGCCTCAATACCTAGATGGATGACATTTTTAAAACAGCACTGATAAAGACAACAGATAAAAATCTGAGAAAAGGGACAGTGTTTGTCCAAGGTGACATAAAACAGTAAAAGACCAGAAGACTTGGATTCTCCAAATTTCAAAGAGCCCAGCAAAGCGTGTACCCCATTTCCTCCTTGTGTTAATAAAAAGTCTTTCCTTTTTCTATCAACTATTGCTCCTTTCAACAAATTAGTTAATTTCCTTCAAGACAAGGTTTTTAAAGTTTTTGAAGTTGTCAGTTTACAAAGCCAGCTTTTATTCAAAGTATTTGTCAGACCTCATACCTGAGAGGCGAAGCCCCTAAACATGTTAGCTTCCATATCAGAAGCCCAATCACTTCTGCTTACCCGCTGACTACCTGCAGGGCCCTCGAACACCAATGCTTTATGCTATTTTTTTTAAATGCTATTTTTTAAAGCATCAAGAAGCGTCTCGGTTTTCTATTTCACTGACACTTTTCACAGCATAAATGCATATCATGTCCTCACAGGGTCAAGTGTTCTTTTAGGAATGCAAAGGGCAAGACTTGACTCTGGCTGGGTGAGCAATGAGGAATGTGACAGCTGGTCGCTGCAGGGACAAGTGATCAATGCCATAGCGAACAACTTCTTCCTCCATCAGCAGCTGCCCCGACCTTCATTGAGGCCATACATCAGTTTCTATGCTTCTCCCTGTTTCTAGTTCCAGGGGATGCTTGGCATGGAGGCTAAAAGTCAGACAGAGAAGGAAAAGCCTCTACAATCTTAGCTGTCTCTCTCTCCCACCAGCAGAATGTCTCTATCATTATGACGCTATTCCAGACCATCTACAATCTGAGCTGAAAACCTAACTTCACCAAGAAAACAGGAACTTAATGCAGACAGGAGACAGTGCAGAGTTCTGCCTAGTGCCCTGCCTCAAGCTTTCCCAACTCAGTCATTCATTCAGCAACAAATATTTCATTCAACAGATAATTAGTAAGCACCATGAAAGTCCCAGTCACTGGTTTAGACAATGAAGAGGGCACAGTAGTGAACAAGACAGACACAGATCTGGTCTTCATGGAGCTGACGTTCTAGTCAAGCCGTTACTCTTGGAAGGGAATCCTACTCCTGTGCCCCTGCCCACACCTCTTATACAGACAAAATGAAACAGATAGGTTGACCTGACCACTCCAGGCTTTTTCACCTCTCTTCCAAATCCTAGGCAATCAGCAAGTGATGGCCATGTTCCATGTGGTAGGCAAGATAAAGACTTACAAGGATGTCCCATCCTATTCCCTAGAACCTACAACTATGTGACCTCAAATGACAAAAGGGATTTGGCGATGTGAGTAAGTTATATATCTGGAGACTATCCTGAATAATCTGGGTGATCCTAAATTAATCAGAGGGCTTCCCTGATGGCTCAGTGGTAAAGAATCCACCTGCCAATGCAGGAGACTCAGGTTCCATCCCTGGGTTGGGAAAATCAGCTGGAGAAGGACATGGCAACCCACTCCAGTATTTTTGCCTGAGAAACCCCATGGACAGAGGAGCCTGGCGGACTACAGTCTATGGGGTCACAAAGAGTCAGATACAACTGAGCAACTAAGCACATACAATGTAATCATAAGAATCCTTATGACAGAAAGTTTGAGGCAGGCAAGTCAGAGTTAGAGATTTTAAGATGCAGCTGCAGGTTCTGAAGATGAGGAAGGGGCCACAAGCCGAGTGATGTGGGCAGCCCACTGAAGCAGGAAAGGTAAGAGGATAGATTTCTTCTCCAGAGACTCCGCAGAGAAACACAGCCCTGCTGACACTTTGAGCCAGCCTGCTAAGAACTACTTCAGACTCTGACCTCCAAAACTCTAAGATAATACATTTGTGTTGTTTTAAGCCATGAAACCCCAATAGTTTTCTTACAACAGCAGTAAGAAACTACCACATCCCATTAGCATTACCCTCACATGCTCCCATTACTGTGCACTCCTCCTCACCCCATATCATATCTTGTGCATCACTGTTTAAATCCTCACTTTCTTTGAAAGCCCTGACATCTCACTGCTGTTGTGTTCTTGCCTTCAGTCCACCTTTGACACTTATGCCAAATTTATAGTGTTCTTCTTGGAACACTATTTTGCACAGAAAAAT